AATATATCTAAAACATAATCATTTCAACATATCATCAATATAAAATTCACAGGTTCCTTTCCACTGCTAAGTCTCCAAAATCCAGTGTGTGTGTTTCACACTTAACAGCACATCTCCGTTCAGATCAGCCCCACTTCAAGAGTTTGGCAGCCACCAAGTGGCTACCACATTGGACACTGCAGGTATACAATCTTTTTCAGTCCATAGCCCATTTTAGGGGGGACACAATGTCTCACTTTCTCTCTTCCCTGGGAAAGCCATCCTGATCCTAGACCCTGAGCCAACAAGTTCCATCAAAGCCCAGGACCAGCAGTTGAGGCCACAATAGAGAGAAACCTCAGGTCTGCCTGGGCCAAGGAGGCTGGTGGCTGCTAGGAATGCTCCCTGCTCCTGTGCAGCTCGATTACTCACCAAAACTTCTGCAAGGGAGACAATCCTGCTTTCCCTCCTAACCCAAAGATTGCCTTAATTGGAAATTCAGTCTGAGCTTAAAACTGAGCCAGGGAGCTGTCCCCCACATGGTAAGAGCCCTGAAGGCATATAGGACGTGTTTCCTAGACACATGAGGAATTCAAATCTCCCCTGCACACTCTTCCTGGCAAAACATGTGGAGGAAGCTAGACAACACCTTCTCACTCCAGAGATTCAGTTCCCAGCTATCAGCCTGGTGGGCTTCTCCAAAAGAGCTCAACATCATCACGTTCAAGGGGGCAGGAAGAGGCAAGATTTCGCCCCCCAGCAGGTGAGAGCTTGGGGAAATCCCTCCTTCCCAAGCTTCCATTTCTCACCTTTAAAATCAAACATGTTAGATGATGGCAATGAGTGCTTTTGCTGCTAGTTGCTCTGTGACAGGCATTTTACAGGCATTAGCTCGTCTACCCCTCAAAACAACCCTAGCTGGAAAGAAGATCCAGGGTTCAGAGTAATGAACCACTTGGTCAAGGTCATACAGCTCTTCAGTAGAGAAGCAAGAACTCTAACTCATGATCTTCTTGAATCAAGAGCCTAAGCTCTTACCTATTGTAAGCTCTGCCAAGTCCCAGGGTAGCCCAGGACAGTTCAGGCTTATCCCTGTCCCAGTGACATACACTTGGCCTAATAATGAAAAATGTTCAATTTGGAGGAATGAACAAGTCTTCCTTCCAGAAGAATTCCATTAGCTGGATGGAATGCTAATGTATGTTGATACTCCTCTCTCTGGAGATTAAGACCCTTCTCCCTCTCAAGTGTGGACTGAACTTAGTGTCTGCATTCCAAAGAACAAGAGTATGGGAAGGGGGAAATAGTAACTCTACAGCAGAGAAACCTGGCAGATACCAGGTGATCAAGGTTAACATCATCTATAACGAGTCATGTTAAGACCACATGCCCCTGATGTGCTACAGTAAGGGCACCTTACCTCCTGTGGTCTTCTTCCCCCAAACCTATAACCTCAGTCTTTTTTTTAAAGATTTTATTCATTCATTCATTCATTCATTCATTCATTTATTAGACAGAGAGAGAGAGAATATAAGTAGGGGGAGCAGAGAGAGAGGGAGAAGCAGACTCCCCGCTGAGCAGGAAGCCCGCCTCAGGGCTCCATCCCAGGACCCTAGATCAATGACCTGAGCCAAAGGCAGACACTCAACGGACTGAGCCACCCAGGCACTCCCTATAAACTCAGGCTAATGATGAGACAAACATCAGAGAAACTGAGGGATGTTCCACAAAATGTCGGACCAGTAGTTCTCAAAACTGTCAAGGTGATGAAAAACAAGGGAAGGCTGAAAAACTCTCTCTCAGACCAGAGAAGACTGAAGAGACATGACACCTGCATGCAGTGTGGGATACCAGATGGAATCCAGAACAGGAAGTGGGGAGTAGCAGAAAAACTAGTGCAAATCAAATGAAGTCTGGAGTTTAATAAACAGTAATGACCACTGTTGGCTGTGACCATTATGAAAATGTAAGAACTTAACACTAGGGGAAAAGGGGCAAAGAGTAAGGGTAATTTTCTAAAAATTTAAAAATACCCTCTTTCCATCTTAATGATACTAACTGCTCACACATACACAGCAATTTAAAGTTTACAAAGTTAAAAGATAGCAAGAGGTGCTGGTTAAAGCTTTAGAATCAGAAATTTAGGGATCCCTGGGTGGCGCAGCGGTTTGGCGCCTGCCTTTGGCCCAGGGCGCGATCCTGGAGACCCAGGATCGAATCCCACATCGGGCTCCTGGTGCATGGAGCCTGCTTCTCCCTCTGCCTATGTCTCTGCCTCTCTGTGTGTGTGTGTGTGTGTGTGTGTAACTATCATAAATAAATAAAAATTTAAAAAAAAAAAAAAAAAAAGAATCAGAAATTTAGGAGTGGAAGCCTTGGTTCTCCCATTTGCTTGCCAGGTGGTCTCAGGGGATATTACGTTCCTTCCCTGGGCCTCAGTTTCCACACCCATATAATGAATTCACTGAATGACAACAATGACTAATAATGCTTACTGAGCCTTTGCTAGGTGTCCAGTACTGTAGAGGGTACTGTGATGTGCCACCCAGTGTCCCCTTCAGGACTGAAGGACTTATCTTTCCTCTCCTCCTCCCCCAGCCACTCAAAGGGGTGCCAGCAGCTATCAGCCCGGTCCAGGTATTGCCCTTGGCAGAAGGGAACCATCCAGCCCGAGGTCATGCTCCTTCCTGGAGGGTAGCTATAGTCAGTACAGAGGGTGTAAAGATCCAGCTCCCTCCTCTCAACTAGGGACAACACTGAAGGTCATCTCCACTGCAGCACACCCCTTATGGTCTTTGTGGAGACTGCACGGCAGCCCAGCATCTCCCTCTGCCCAACCCACCTTCCTTCCTTCCCTTCCCAACACAAATGTTGATCCTGAATGCTCCGCATAAAATCGTCCCATGACAGGAGTGTTGACCATGGGACCTGCACTTCCTTTCTTAACCCTCAGACTAACCCTGTTTCTATAGAAGATATACTGAGGTTGCAGAAGAAAACACATTTGGCCAAGAACATATAACTAAGAAATGGTGGTACCACAGATGGGCAAATTCAAGCTTGTTCAGGCAAAATGATCCACGTGGGTCTCTGAGCTAACAGATGAGAGGACCAAGATTTGGTCCTCTGTCTGCTTCACTCTGAAGACCACAGCACCACAGCCTCCAGCCCAGACCACTCAGCCGCCAGCAGGACCACTATGGGCACCATGACAGATGAGTCCTGCCACACCCACTGCCCTCCCTGCAGTTCACTCCACATCTGCAAGATGGGAATAATAATAGCACCTACCTTTTCTGATATGTTGTAACAACTGAGTTAATTTACATAAAGGCCTCGAAACAGTGACTGGCATGTAAAGAGCCCTTCATACACAGCCAGTTAAAAACAAATCACAGAAGCAGCATAAACTTTCAAATGTGAGACATTCTAAGAAAATGGCAAGGTCGTCAAGTGAGGTCAGCCTGTGACAGGGGGCTGGGCTTCATCAGCTCCCTAAGGGAGTCAGGCTTGACCTGGGCTCTGAAGGAGGGGTAGGAGTTAAATGGGCAGCAAAAGGGAGGAAGAGCAGTCCAGGCAGGAAACCAGCAGGAACAAAAGCTCTTTGGCAGAAGGAACGAAGGAAGGATAAAAGGCTAGCGTGACTAACACAGAGAATAAAAATCCAGGTCCGGGACAAGAGTGGTAAAAATGAGGCTGAATGGGAGTGCAGGAACCAGATTATGAAGAGCCACTCACTACCTGGGTGATTTGGGACCAGTCACTTTCTCTCTCTAAGCCTCATTTAATCCATGTGTAAAACAGAAGTAAAACCAGAACTGATCTTATAAGGCCCGTAAGGAGATGAAATGAGTCAATATTTGTAAACTACTAAAATAGTGCCATGCACATAGCAAGAACTATAAATGTTTGACGACAACATTAGAGCTTTTTCTCAAGTATAATGAAAAGACATGGAGGGATCTGAATATGGATCTGAATATGGAATAAGGGTGGGTGCTGAGTGGATAGGAGGGTGGATGGACACAGGGCTAGTAGATGATAGGTGACGGTAGCTGAGTGACTGGAAGTGAAGTTGGATTGTTGAATGGGAGTTACGGTGGTTGGATGGATGGATGACCAATAGGTGCTTGCATGACTGGATAGGTGGGTGGGAGTGGATGTTGTTTCCGCAGATGAAAGCATGGTTGCGTGATGGGGGTGATTGGATAAATGGAAGAGATTGGGTGAATGGAGGTAGTCAGGTGAATGAAGTATGGATGGATGTTAAGATGGATAGCCTGGTAGATGTAAGAAGTAGTTGAGTGAATGTGGCTCATTAGTGACTAAAGGGATGGATGGAGAGTTGAATGCCTGTCTGAAAGGGTGTCCAGGTGGCTGGGTAGATAGGGTTGGGTGGGTAAAAGGATAGGAGCTGAAAGGGGCTGGACGGATGAGTGGCTGTCCAGGTAGATTTCAGAGAGGCAGAGTGACGGGAGGTAGTTGGTCTCGTGGGTTATTCAGATGGGCAATGAAAAGTTCGGTGAAGGAGGAGCTGGATGAATGAATGGATGCCTGGGTGGTTGGACGCGTGTCTGGGGGTTGATGGGTAACCAGACAGTGGAGGGGGTAGGTGGGGTGAAGAGATGGTTGTTCGGTGGCTATTGGAAAGGCTGGATGAACGGAAGGGTTCAGTGAATGGGTGGACGGCAGTAGTTGAGTGAGTGGATGGATGGATGGATGGATGGACGGACAGGGGACCAGAAGCGCCTCGAGTTCTACTGTTTAAAGGCCAGGGGTGGGGATGCCCGGGGTGGCTCAGCGGTTCAGCGCCGCCTTCGGCCCAGGGCGTGACCCTGGAGACCCGGGATCGAGTCCCGCGTCGGGCTCCCGGCACGGAGCCTGCTTCTCCCTCTGCCTGGGTCTCTGCGTCCGTGTGTGTGTGCGCGCGCGCGCGCGTCGCTCCTGAATACATCAACACAAACCTTAAAACAGAAAAACGAGGAGCCAGGGAGGCTGGGGGGCGCGGCGCCGGGGCCTACCTGGAGGCGGCGATCTCGGCCTTCTGGCGCGCGATGGCGGCGGCGCGCTGGGCGCCCTCCACGCTGTGCTCCACCTTCTGGCGGACCTTGCCGCTCCGCAGCGGCAGCACGCGGCGCTTGGCGCCCTTGACCAGCACGTTGTGGCGGTACTTGCCCTCCTCGCGGCGGCCGTCGGGCAGCGTGGTGCAGCCGTAGCCGTGGCGCAGGTTGTCCAGCCACTCGCCCTCGTAGCGGAGGCCGCTGGAGCGCTCGCTCACGCCGAAGCCCGAGCGCTTGTCGCTCTTCCACTCGCCCATGTAGGTCTCGGTGGTGGTGGCGTCGATGTCGGCCTCGAAGGGCGCGGCCTCGTCGGCGCCCTCCGCGCCCTCGGCGCCCTCCGCGCCCTCGGCGCCCTCGCCCAGGCTGGCGGTGGACGCGGCGTCGCTGGCGCCCGAGCTGAGCTCGCTCCTGAGGAAGCTGACGCGGCTGCGCTGGCTGCCCAGCGACGTGCGGGACTCGGCGCGCCGCAGGCGGCCCAGCAGCGCGCCGCGCGGGAAGAGGCCGCCGCCCTTGGGCGCCCGCGCCGCCTCGGCGTTGGCCAGCAGGCTGAGCGCGAAGCCGCCGCGCGGGATGGCGGCCGCGGGCGAAGTGGGGCCGTCGGGGGCCGGGGAGCCGGGCGAGTCCGGGGCCGCCGCGCCGTTGCTGTGCTCGCTGCGCAGGGACGAGAGCGACGTGCGCAGCGGCGAGCGCACCACCACGGCCATCCCGTAGGGCACGCTCTGGCGCACGCCGTAGCCGTGGCGCATGCCGTTGGTGAACTGGCCCTGGTAGGTCCCTGCGGGCGAGGAGAGGGCGCGTCAGTGGGCGGCTGGGAGGGGGGGAGGGGGGAGGGCGAGACTGGGGGGGGTGGGGATGGAGAGGGGATGGGGGAGTGGGGGGGTGGGGATGGAGAGGGGATGGGGGAGTGGGGGGAGTGGGGATGGAGAGGGGATGGGTGGGGGTGGGGGGAGTGGGGATGGAGAGGGGATGGGTGGGGGTGGGGTGGAGGTAGGGGAGGGGGTGGGGGGTGGGGGTGGAGGGGTGGGAGTGGAGGTAGGGGAGGGCGTGGGGGTGCGGGTGGAGGTAGGGGAGGGGGTGGGGGTGGAGGGGTGGGGGGTGGGGTATGGAGGGGTGGAGGTGGGGCGTGGGGATGGAGGAGAGGGTGGGAGGGTGGAGGGGAGATGGGGGTGGGGTGGGGGGGTGGGGGCATCCGTGAGCGTGCCAGGACATTAGTGGGCAAGCCGGGAGGCATTCACACAGTGGTGTGAATCTTCACACGCAGGGTCACAGTGGGTGTGGCAGAGTGAGGTTGTGCGAGTCAGTGCCAGTGTGTAAAGCTATATGAGCAGGTAGGGACCCTGAGTGTGTGCAGTTAGACCAGTGTTTGAGTTCACAAGTGGACGGCCAGGAGTTTCATGATGGTGTGAATATTTCCAGTGGCAGCCCCACAACGAGGTCACGCTGGGCAAGACAATGAGGTCGCGTGAGTCAGAGCATCAGTGTGTGGAGCCGTGTGAGCCAGGGAGGCCCCGGGAGTGTGTGGGGTTAAACGAGTATTCGAGGACGCTCATGGATGGCCGGGAGTTGTTTGCACGATGGTGTGAATCTTTCTATTGGTAGGAACACAGCAGGGTCACAAGTGTGCAGAATAGGGCAAGTCAGTTTTAAAGTGTGAAGTTGTCCAAGCAGATGAGGTCTGGTGAGTGTGAATTTGAATGAGTGCACAGATTCTGAAACACCCAAGAGAGACTGACCATGCAAGACTGTGAGTGGGCAAGACAGCGAGTTTGTGTGGTAACATGAATATTTGTGTTTCTGGGAGTGTACGAGGCAGTGTGTGCCCCGAGATCACATGAGTGTGACATAACAGGATATAACATAAAGTCATGAGAGTATTTGAGGTCTTGAGTATGTAAGGAAAGGCAAAGTTGAGTGAGGGTGCAAAACCGTTAGAGGTTCAAAGAGTGCAGTGTTGTGTGAGCAGGCACATCTGTTGGTATGTGGGGTTAAATGCATGTGCCTAGTCATCCTATTTTGCAAGGTGATGTGTGTGTTCAAGCTCATGAATGGATAAGACAGTGAGTTGGCAGAGTAGTATGAATGCTGGAGAGCGTGCAGTTCTGTTGGAAAGCATGGGAGTGTGTGTATCTGTGTAAGGCCAGGTGTATAGAAGACTTTTATGAACACACATGTCAGTGTCTTTTCACTATATGAGATCATGAGTGTGCAATGCAGTGTGTACACCGTGGGGTAAGTACCCAAGTTCCTGGAGGTGACGTTTGGGTGTGTGAGAGGTTCTGGGTGTACAAGGCTGTCTGAATGTTAAAGCACAGAGTAATAAGCACTTGAGTCTGAGTGTATGAGGTTGTGGGCCTTAGGGAAACTGAGATGGTGTAAAACCGTGTGTGTGCGCAGGACAGCAGTATGTACAAGGAGTTGGCCACAGTGGAGGCCTTGTGTGTCCATCAGTGTGGGCACGTGAGCTCCTGGGAACAAGAGCCCATGTAAGTGTGTCCACTGAAAGTCAGTTCCCTGCCTTCATCTTCATGCCTTCGGTCTATAGACTAGCCCCTGCCATAATCTTCACTAAGTCGAGGGTGGGAAATTCAGAGCCTTTGCTTTAAACACAGGCTCCTACTTTACCCTGGTTAACCAAAAACAAAACAAAACAAAACAAACAAAAATCCCAAATGGCCTTCTTCCCAGCAAATGCCCAGGATGAGTTGGGAACTGAAACAACCAACTAGGTAAGGGATTCTTAAGCTCCTCACAACAGGGATGCTCTCTTTTGGGCCTTTGCACTGGCTGTTCCCTCTGCTTGGAACTCTCTTCCTCCAGATCTCCTTGCACCCCCACAAGCACCTGGGCATCCTTGATCTACTTCTGTTTTCTATAGTATGTTCCCTTTTCTAACGTATTGTATGACTTAACAATTATATGTATTGCTTTTCTTTCCCCACTAGAATGGAAGCTCCATGATGGCAGGGATCTTTCCTGTTTTGGTCTCCACGGTAGCCCCAACACTTGGAATAGGGGTAGCTCCATAAATAGGGGTGCTCCATAAATATTTGTTGATTGATTAGCTGGACCTGTCCAGAAACTCCATCTCCTTGTGTGACCTTGGGCAACTCTCTTCCCTCCTTAAGACCTTAGTGACCCTACTTGTCAATGACGTTTTAGATATGAAGCTCTCTAAAGTTTGGCCTACCTTTGAGTTGCTGGCCTTCTAGGAATTGGGCACTATGACTCTGCAGGTGAAGGACAGCGTGTCCACCTGACTCCACACTGCCCGGTCCCTCCCAGCACAGGCTGCTCCTGCTCAAACCCCCAGTCCCTGCCCCGCCCTCAGCCCTTTCTGCATGAAGAGACCCCATTAAGAGTCAAATACAGTGCCCAGGGCTCATTTAAACCTCTCAAAGATCCTATCAGGTGGGTCCCATGATGATGCTCATTTACAGGAGAGGAAGTGGGTGGTCTGAGAGGTTAAGTGACTGGACCAAGGAAGCAGAATCTAAACCTAAGTCTAGCTAATGCCCAAAGTTCATGCTCTGAGCCCAGAGTTTATCCTGGCTGCCCTTCAGAAGCTCTAAAAAATACCAATTTCCAGGCCTCACCACTAGAAAATCTTGTGTAATTTGTTGGAGAGGGTCCCCAGTTTGTGCAGCCTCTCTCTACGTACAGGAGGCAGGCGCAGCCAGCAGTGAGAGGGACATCAGAGTTCTCCTCCCTTCAGTGAGCAGCCATAAAAAACCAATGACCACAGTACATGAACTATAAAAGGGCCAAAGAAAAGTGGAAAGAGACAAAAAAAGGAAATATCAGTGGGCATGATCTTGTAGAGGAAGATACAAACATGATCTCCATTTCACAGGTGGAATGGTTCAGAGAAGTTATGTGACTTGCCCAAAGTCACCCAGTAAGGAAGAGGCAGCTCTGGATTTGAACCCAGTTCAAATGGACATGTGTGGCAGGTGCAGAGAACAGAGAAATGAGAGCATGGTGCAGAGAATGATAAAATGGGGAGGTGGATAGATGGGAAACTAATGTGTTCCCATTTCTAAGCTCATTCACATATGGTCACATTTTATGGGAGACGGGGACAAATAGATGTGATGTTGGAGACAAACTGAGCTCAGATATCATCTAATCTGGAGAGCCTCGAACAAGTTACTTCTGATTCTCAATGTGCTTATCTGGAAAATGGATATATAATACCCATTTTCTAGGGTTTGGGGGAAGATTAAAAAGGAGACAACAAAAAAAATGAAAACAACCCAAATGTCCATCAGCTGGTAAATGGATGGACAGGTAATCAACCACACAGTGGAATTACTGGTCAGCATTAAAAAGGAATAAGCTACTGATTATGCAGCACGGATCTCAAATGCATGTTGAGTGAAGAAAGTCAAAGGTGAAAGAATACAAACCGTGTGATTCCAGTTACATCAAAGCCTGGAAAAAACTGACATAGAATGACAGAGAGCAGATCCGTGGTTACCAGGGCTGTGGGTAGGAGGGATCCCCTAGAGCTTTCTCAACTTATAGAAACCTTCTATGCCGTGATGGTGCTGGTGCATACATTTGTCGAGACTGTACACTTGAAAAGCATTTTATTGCATAGAAACTATACTTTGATTTAATTAATGAATAAATTAATTAACTTTTAAAAAGGAAAAAAAAAACACTGCAGCACAGCATTCTGCAAATACCCATCAGAAAATTCTGTCAACTGTCTTTTCCAAGTGAGTCTGAGATCCGGCTACTTCTCACCACCCCTGCTGCTACTACATGGTAGCCCGAACCATCCTTGTCTCGCCAGGATTTTCATAACGGCTGCCACGCTGGTCTGTTTCGGCCCTGTGCTCCTCTCTCCGTTCCTAACGCACCCATCACAGGGATTCTGTTCAAATGTAATAAAGTCAGAATCGCAACACTGCTCTGCCTCTTCTCATTCAGAGGAAAAGCTGAAGTCCTTAGTGATCCAGGGACCCTCCCTGATCTCATCCCTGTCACTCCTCTGTCCTCACCTCCCTCGGTTCTCCCCTTTCCTTCACCCCACTTTAGCCAAAAAGGCCTCCTTGCTGTTCCTCCCACACATTAGCCATGGTCCTGCTCGGGGCCTTTCTGTTTGGTGCTCCCTCTACCTGGAATGTTCTTCCCCCAGAAATCTGCATAGCTCACTCCCAGAGAGGTATTTAATGGTTCCTATAAGACTCACTCAAGGCGACAGGGCTAATAACTCTACCAAGACTCACATCCATGTTTAGCTGTGCTCCCTCCACTGTACTCAGAAGAAAGAAAAAAAAATATGTACATGAGAGTGGAAAGTGAACAAGAATAGAGCAGAGAAGATGGAAAACTGGGAGAAAGACAGATGACATCTAATCTCTGGGTTGGATGAGTTTGTGAAATTAAATCAGCCAATCTACCTTTAGCTTAAAGTTGGCATGAGATGGGCTGACATGGTCCCTTTAAGCCCAAGAAAAACTGAGATTGCAACAGGAGAGCGGCTCTTGGCCACCAGTTGGGGAGGAAACGGCCAGGCTATATTAGGAAACTTACAAGCAAGTGGCAAGAGGCACAGACACCCAAGGGAGGTTGGGAGTGATGGGGCCCTGGGAAGGGGGAAAAGCCAAGTGCTGGGGCCATCCCCAGCCTGACTCTCTCTAAGACAGGGCAGCTCTCCCTGGGGACTGGAAGAATGCATCTGCATCAGAAGAGAGGGGGGGAGGAGGACCCCACCCACAGCCATCTGGCTGAGAGGAGCTTTCTGTGGAAGGAAGTGCCTCCTGATAA